AATATTTCTGTTAGTCCATGCTTCAGATATCATTATAAGTGATGGTTGATATATAGATACAAAAAGGATTCGGCGGGAAAGCTTTCCATCCATTTGGTCAAATAGATCTATAGCATTATAGCTGATGTCAGTTCGTGGTGAAAAACCCATATGTAATTCCTAAGACAAATTATTACAATTATTGAGAACTGGATAATAAAAGCACCAGTAACACTTGCTGCAGCCAGGTACTAGAATATATACGGATGATTGGAGAGCCCACAAACTCATACATAGGTTTGGTTATGTGCATCGTGTTGTTATTCACGAGTGGCATTTTGTGTACTCAACAACCGAGGTGCACACAAACAATATTGAAACTATGTGGTTAAGGCTGAAAGAGTTTTGAGAATTTATCATGACTCCAGAGGCAGACTATTCTTTAGTCGTACAGATGATTTCCTTTACTGCATGCATTACGATTTTAGAACCTCTGAACCCCTTTCTAACCTTGACAAGTTTTTGAACCACGTATGAGAATTGTATCCACTTTATTTCCTTGGTTTTGTATAACATCTTTTTTACTCTATACTGACTGTTTGCCGATTGGCTAATATTCATCAAGGTCACTTAAGTTTTGTTCAAAGGTTGTCCATAAATTAGAATCTCTCCGAAATTTCACTTTTACTGAAGTTATTGGTCATCAAACTGGGTGAGTAGAGAGCTCGTTTAACTGAATATAATATCTGAGTATAGAGTTGTTATTAAGTTTTAGGCGGGTTAATAAAAGGATCGAAGTCTATGAGTATATAATATATTCCAGACCTATTTAAGAATTAAGTCCACTATAAGAATAATACTATCTTGAAAGTGTCCGTCGGAAATTTTTTTCGGGGTAAAATGTACCTGATATATATGATAGGATGATAGTCTCCGTATAATGCACCTTACGAATGAACACGCCGAAGAATTTCTAAACCACGTGAATAACGGTTACCACTTTCAAAGTTCGCGCCGACAGCAGTTTGGACTACTATTCGCAGGGTGAAGTCATTATGTTGCACTCTCAGTTCAAACAGCATAGACAACGATAGGAAGAATGTGGTTTCACAGTACTGAGGATTTGTATTCATACACAGAGAATGTGTTGCGAAAGCGGGATTTGTGGAATTTCGGGCTAGAATCGTGATTAACAGTTTATTAATGTCAATTAGCTAATGTCATTTCTTCAAGCACCAATGATGAACCAAAATTGAGACAGGAGTCGATCTAATCAAATCACTCTTCCATAAGATGGTTTGGAAAAGTTTCATTTTGAATAAGGTTTAATCAAAAGTCCATTCGCGGCCATAATAAAACTCACAGTGTTTGAAATAAGCAAAATAAATACGTATAGTATGTGACACAGGATTCCAACAACCAGCAAAACACAATTTTTGATGTGTCAGAGTTGTCATACAGATGGACGCTCTCCGAAATGAAGAAGTCTATGGACGACATTCTATCATATGTGACTAAATGAAGGTATTATCCGTTAATTGAAGTTCGAAATTGTCGATATATGTATATATGAATCTCACAATGGTTTCAAATGTGTGCGGTAATACTTCAGAGCAATATATTGTGTGAACCAGCAATAACGGTAGGTCATTACATTTTTCTTATTGCATAGAATTTTGATTCCGGCCAGCTGGAGGCTAATCAAGTGTTAATCCCACCCTAATTTATGCCATTTACTAAACTAGGAAAGTAATTAACGAGGCAAAAGACGGCAAAAGTATAAAATGCTGGCGGCCTTGAGCTAAACGAACAGAATTGCGATGACGTCTTTCGTGTTTTGCACAAAACGTTATATCCGGTGATAGACAACGTTCCTGATATTGCATACTAAGCTAATATCGGCTACATATGGTTCTCAAAATGCGAGAACTGAACAAAGGTACCTGTCATGTGAACAGAAAAAGAAATCAAAATGATCTCTCAACTAAACTATAATTTAATATTCCTAGGTTATTCCCGATATATCAGTTACAGTCTCTCACATTCAAAAACATGTTTGGCGTGATCTTGCATAATTGTTAGTTTAAAATCCCTTTTGTATTAAAAATTTCAAAAATGTTAAAAATGGTCATAAATAAGCAACACATATACTAACTATGATATATGACCCCTGGCAAGCATGAAATCGAAATCATTCTTCAGGGCAGAATTCTCATAAAAGCCATCCAGTACAAACATCCAGAAGTACAGGTGAACCGGGTTTTTCGCTGTGAAGATTAAAATAAATTACAGATATAAAAGTCAGAATGAAAGGTGAAAAATAGTTATCATGAACATTAGGAAAATCATAGTCTATACAAATATGGGTAAATCAATGAACAGTAACGTACACAATGAAATCTGTCAACAACCTTGTAGCACACGCCTCAAACATCGATTCTTCAACCTACACTGTCCAGAGATCCCCATACCCATTGTTACAACGAATCTATTAGGCAATTTAAGGAAATTCGGAATCTCATCCTCCTTGGTATGATAAATAAATAACAGATCATTTTGACCATATTGTGTTGTGCCTGAATAATGGTCGGAATGACTAAATAACGCCAAATATCAGTCAAAATATTCATAGATATTCATAGATATCTATCCCATGGGACTAGTAAGTTTCGTCTTAACTCATGAATATCTGAAAAGGTAGACACTGAGAAGTGTCGAGCGAGTGCAAATGACAATTTTGATAGTTCGATCGCGTCCTCCATAAGCTGATTTCCCCCCCACAGTTGACCCAACAAATAGAACGTCAATTATTTTATCACTTACTTGGATTATTATCATTGGATTATAATATTTCACAGGACAATAAATTCAATTTCCGTAATAAATAAGACGTTTCAGTAAAAAGTGTTGATTAGTAAGGTGTATCATTTCACAGAATTCATTGGTCTAGCACACGAATTAATCCGAACTAGATGACACGGACTAAAGTTTTGGACATGAACATTAAAATGTAAACATTCGAGAGTTTCATATAGAAAACGGTTTACTCCTAATTCAAAGACTGTCAACACAGCCAATACGGTAAGCAATAATGAAACTCAGTGATCTGGAAATTTCACGATTAGTTATATATTCACATACATATCGAACGTTAACTATTATGGTACTCATATACTGGCAGTCGGGGTCATTAGGTATCATTAGTTCCTCAGCTTTTACTCATTACCATTCCATGAGAACAGAAACTATTTGCATTATTCAGAATTGGGTCCCATTAAATAAGAATTTCACGTGGCCGCATGTTGTGAAAACTGAATTAAGTATAGGTTAAATTATATGCAGCTCCATGACAATAAGTTAGCAGATGGTACACAGTACATGAACGTTTTGTGTTCTTGCGAATTTTATGGTGTGGAAAACACTAACAACTCAGAGATTTCGACTCCTGATTCATTTGCAACCGATCTCGAATTCTCGGTCATCAACCTCTTAATGGTAACTAGAATAGGCGCACGCCTTTTATTGTACTACTATTTAAGATATTTTGGCAACGCTTATTCAATAATGCGAAAAGCTTTGCAAACTGACACCATTTAATCGTATGAAGACAATATTTCATAGTCCGTTCGAACACATTTTACAACAAAGTTTAATAGGTAAACACTGATAGAGGTCAACCAATCTACTAGACTTTTCCTCAAGACTGTATGCTGAAGCAAGGAAATGTGCGTTTGCAAGCGTGGTACAAGACTGTAATAAATTAAACAATGTTGAACACAATGATCAGACAAATTTGTACGTCTAAGACTCCATGTCGTCTGTCGGTCTTGTCATTAATTTGAAGATTCAACAAATCCACAGAATCGTATTTAGAAAACTGAAAGCAATGCAATTCAACTTCAACCTCTTAGAGGATCTCCAAAATAACGAATTTCTACGGCAAAAATAGATTTCAGATGATATTTGTCACGAAAACATCTCTCTGATAGATCCATCTTACAATATAGTGCCCACCACTTGGTACAGTAACTTGCCACAGAAATCTTTTTTCGGCAAAAACTAAAGTTTACATATGTACACAATCTCCACTACTTATTTTTAATATCTCCCACAAATACGACGATAACGAACAAAATGTGTCAAAACACTTGAGAATCATTTATAAGGCATATCTGGAGCTATCATTTAAGAGTCTTTACCAAGTTCTTCAAGGATAGGTTGAACTTGCTCCCAAATACTTTGTCGCTTTATGACTAAAACTTCCTCAGCCTGTCACGTAAATTGTTACTGACCGCAGCTAGCAACTTTTTCTGAATGAAGGCCCTATGATTTTTCCGGACCATTTAGTATGATCATTAGATAGCAAATTGTTTCCGTTTGAGGCAGTGTTCTTAGGTCTCTCATATCAGTAGGTGTAAAATTGAGTATTCGCATCCCATCTCTCTCCAGGTGTAACTTATTTCTCTGCCTTAAAAAACTCTAACAGGTGGTGGTTCATAGTCTAAATTGATACTGGGTTTCGTATCTTAAATATAGATTACTACGAGTCCCACTTATGGACTAAAAATACTTCCAGTAGACATCAAAGTCAAAATCTTAAAAATGAACGTCAAGAAAACTCTATTGTACTAGTCTGAAACTTTCAGAACTACTAAAACCATCTTCAAGAAGGTTTGCGCGAAGATGTACACAAGGTCCTCCAGTTCAGACGCATGAGCACAAACAGCAACAATTTACTGTGGCATATAACAAACCAGGCTCCAGTTGAAAAGGAAACTTGGAAAATATGTTGTTGATGGATAGTACATATTGCGGAAATCATCAGACCGCACAACTAACCAAGACTATGTTTATGATGCCCAAGACAAAAAGAATAGAGGCAGACCAAAACACATTGCTTTGTGAATCGGAGGTGGACATATGGACAATAAGAAGTACTTAAAAACAATGAGAGTCTTAAAGAGAGTAGGTTATAGAATCGAGGTGATAACAGATCTAAGAATGTAAGTTGGTGTGCTACAAGTCGCCTTACATCTTCAAATACAGTGGCGTTTCTGATGTTGACGGCAAAAGTTACTAAAATGTTTGATCAACTTGTGTTTTTATCCTCTTCCCAGCGCCAGGCTTAAGTTTTCACACGCTACGGAATGATCGATTTTGGTGACTTGAAAACCGCTTCGGCCCTGAAGAAGCTAAATGATTTTCTGCTTACCAGAAGTTATATATCAGGGTTAGTGTGAATTTTGCGTATGTACGGTGGTGTAATAAACTCGTCTAATGGATGAACGTACATGTTTGTAGTATCTCAAACTCCTGTAAAGCCTGAGTCTTGAGTTTGCATTTTTCCCATCACATATACGCTCCGTAAACCATTTTGCTATGGGTTTACTCTCTTTTATTGTATTAAGTGTTGGCCGGTTTGTATTCCAGATACATCCTGAATGTCATGGGCTGACCGTCGTTTATGAACTAAGACTGCAGATATTGAGTTCATCTATGTGGAAAAAATATGGGATTGTGAGTGTTGTTAGTCTGTGGTGAAAACTCATTTTTCCCATATTTTTGTGAAAGCTTCTCAAAGATATCTTAGTATTTCTTTAAAGTCCTTAAATTAAAGTTTCGTCGGATTTAAATTTTGTAGAATGCTTGTCATTTCTGAGTCTGGCCGAAACTAATTTCTTCTGTAAAACAACACTTCAGACCAATCATTTAGTGCTTTCGTTTAGTCTCAAATCCTAACCTACCCTGATATCCATCAAAATTAGAAAGGTTAGGGTTCAGTTCGTCCAATAGTTATTAATATTGTCTTTACAAGTTACAGCAACAACCTATTACGGTAAAGTTCTCAAAGTAGCGCATCATCTAGTTTTTTCTCCTCGGCAGTTAAATAATGTAGTAACACCACATAGGAAACGTTGTAGAGTCCATCCAATTTGGTATGCGGACGTTTCTTTTCATTGTCCACTTTTTACCTAACTTCTTATTGTCATTGAACCAAATTGGAATATATTGGTCCACTAAATTTTACTTTCAATAAATGAACTCAGTTCATTTGTATATGTTTGACAGTGTTGTTAAAAACTCTAGATTACTACTTGGTATAACAGTCCTACGAATAATTGGGTTAATATTTGGGTCTGTTAGTATAGCTAGTGTCGAAATTATTATTAGCAAACACGCTCCATAACCCATTTTATAATAATATTTTTGTAGGTTCCAGCCTACTCAAGCGGATGTCTCAACTTTCGTAGCCCTTGGGAAGTCACCGTCATCAGATTTTGGCAATATTTTACGCTGGTACAAACATATTGACTCTTTTGGTGCGGAACAAAAAACGTTTCCTGCTCCACAGGAATCCGCCAATCCTGAGCCAGGTAGTCAAGAGTTCTAGGGTTTAAATTGCATTTCCTTCTCTTTTAGCTAAATGTTCATCGCCTGCTGCAAGTGACGAGCTCGATTTATTTGGTTCTGATGATGATGATGAAGAGTATGAAAAACTAAGAAGTGAGCGCCAGGCTATCTACGAAGAAAAAAAAGCAAAGAAGGATATTCCTGCAGCGAAGTCTATGGTTGTCTTTGATATAAAACCGTGGGGCGACGAAACTGATATGGCGGAGATGGAAAAGGCTGTCCGTAGTATTCAAGCCGATGGGCTGTTATGGGGTTCGTCCAAACTTGTCCCTTTGGCTTATGGGATTAAGAAACTCCAAATTGCATGTGTTATTGAAGATGATAAGGTATGTATTCTCAGTCAAATGTTTGTCAAAAGCATTTATTTGATCAATAAGTTCAAATGAAATTGTATTCTCAGAATTCTTGAGTCTCTAAAGTAGAATATTGTTGATATCTCTTTTTCAGGTCGGAACTGATATGTTAGAAGAAGAAATAACGAAGTTTGAAGACTTTGTGCAGTCAGTTGATATAGCTTCTTTTAACAAACTCTAGTTCTACTTTGGTATATGAATAAAATTTTCTAGATGTATCGTTTTCTTTATGCTCCCAAGCGGTTTCATAGTGTTTGTTTGCATTGTAGACAAAATTCATATATGTTCATCGATCGTAGATTCTTGGGGACGAATAAATTCGAAACAATGACGAATGTGCAATGACTAAGCCCAGATACGATTGAACACGACTGTGACTGACCATTAATCAATACACTCATGTACCAGGTTATGTTACTTACGACTGACCAACTAGAACGTTTACCTACACCTCACTCTGTCAGAAGCAGTAGTTAATAACGTCAAGAACTTATATTTTTGTATTAGTCTCTTTCCTCTAGCATGTCTCTGCGTTAGTTCTGCGATTCGAGATAAACGGCGACAAAGGCGGCGTAGGTAACCCTTCAACTGTATAAATTAATAACGCTTACAGCCTCACCGGTCGACTTGCCATCACTGCTGGTTTTCAGTTTAGTTTGTCCCCCTTCAACACAGTCGTGAGCAACGTAGAACTCAGCGCACGTTCATCGGTCCAAGTTACCACATCAAACTATCAGAGCTGGATGCTGCAGTAGTAGGATCAGAAACATCCGTATTAGTAGTAAAGATTAGATACAGACGGTATAATTCAAAAAAGAGCCAACTCGCAGACTAGAAAGCAAGGGATCACAAAACTCATGGTCTTAGTGAATTCATTTGTCCCATTGTGGTTGGTTCTAAGCCATTTTCACCTCATAGTCTCGGCGATCCCACGAACTCTTCCGGTGTGCCTCATGTTAACAATCAATAAATTCATGAACTGATCCTGGATCCTAGTTCGGTCCCGTAGCTCTCATCCGATTCAATCCAGTGGCAGCGAATGTCCCACGTCAATGCAGGCGATAGTTGGGCTTGCCCAATGGTCGAAGTAGATGAAGGTTTGATACCTCGTCAACCGATTTGCCCATCTCTACCTGGTGCCCGGCGTCCAACATGGGTAACGCTTAGTAGTACACGCGTGTACAATGCTTCGAAGGCATCTGTGGCCAAATACTAATGACCTACGGATATCATCTACTTTCAAAGGCCGTACTCCATGTCCACGAAGCAAAATAACACGGACTGCTTCTTGGTAAACTGGTCCTTTGCTTAAGACATATCTCGCCTATAACACTGGTGACTTGAGTCAGGGAAGACCATCCGAGCCCTAAATCTGTGACGCGATTTTCCCAAACACCAACCTGCTAGAGTTGATAAGATTTGATCGGCTGACTCAACTAATTTACTCCTTATTGTGATTGTAGGCGTTGTTACAAACCAGTCCTGAAGCAATATTTTGCATTTGTATGTAGGGAAATACCTCCAAAACATTGCGTTATTGTAGGAATAGGTTATGAGGATCTATGTAATAACTAGGCTCATAAGCTTGTCTAACATCTAAGAGTTCGCCTGTTGATTACTTTGTACACCAAATGATCTGGCTTATCCGCATGTGCATCTTTTATGAATGGCTTGCAACTAATTACTGTGCAACTCAAAAGGATATATCCTAGTCTTTGGCATATTCCCAAAGAGAGGCACGTGCAATATTTAATGAACTGATCTTGCAGATAGTCATTCACAATTTAAACCAGGTTGCATGTATGTATGTATTCAATCGAATGAATGATGATGTCATGAGGAAATATATTTAAAGAGATACATTGGATTAATCTGTTTATCATTATATAGATAGAATGAAACACAATTTCTTGTAAATCACATTTCTTTCCTTTAGATAACCCTGATGATTAGACTTGACGTGCATAAAACAACTGCCAGTGAAGTCCCACTCACTGTCTTTTCATGGCGGGTGTCTAGTTTACGAAATCGAGAAGACGAAAAGCGAATGTTCGGCGCTTTAACCGAGTTGGTAGATATGGAGGACCGGTCCACCTGGGGAAGTTGGAGAACCCTGACTCCAAACCAGTGGTGCACATGGGCTTCAGGATCATAAGGAAACAAATGGCGTATTAACCTATTGTTCATCACCGGCTACAACGGGACTGCATGTCCTGACGTTGCTTCACTGCCCTCTGGATCAGGCCTTCAGGTCAAGTGCTCCGGGTGTGGCCCCCTAAGAAGAGATAGTAACAGTATCAGTGGTAATAGAAAATATTAGGGATCGAAGATACGATTCAAGAAAATATTAAAAGAACTCAGAAGCTTACATTTCAGTGGAAGAAAAGAAATGGATGCACCTGTACCATAGCAAACAATTTTGACCTACGTCAAAGTTTCTAACCACTAGTTACGATGATCACATGGATTCCAACCAAGCAGTCCACACCAATTAACATGGAACAGTTCATTTGTGAATAACACTTCAGAAGCTAACTTCGCCTATGTTTAACTCTAATAGGTGAAATCCCGTCAGCTGAGTATTTAAGTAGACCGGTTCTTCTAGTAGTATTATGAATTTACTCGACAATATTTAAAAGCTAGAACACCAGTTGTTAGGACAGTGTACTGTTAATTATCAATAACATTCGCAATTACTCAAATGGCAAGCAAACTGGGAAGCGAGTGTGTGAAAGTGAGAGTCGAAAAACCCATATATGATTTATGGGTGTTAATTGTGGGTAAGTTATTGATTGCTTGTGTAAATAACCAATGGTGGGATAAAGATTGAGACTCAAACATGTGTTCAATCAAACTTACACATACTTTTGCATAGTGAGTTAATTGCTTAAATAAATTACAGCAGGTAGGTGGTCAGAAATTCAACGGGCTTACTAATAATTCCATGTCCTGATTTTATGCTTCGATTTGGCCACCCTCAGATTCCTTCCAACCCACCTATACACTAGAGATAAAAAAGGGACTCATGGATTGTCTCCTATGGGTGCTATATTTTCCAGTATCACAACACACACATTTTCTTCATAATCTCATCGATAGCGAAGTCGGAAAAAATCAACAAGATTAACAACCTCTTGGTTCACAACTAATGCTTTGCAACAAAAGACAAAAGTGATGATACGCTACGACGCTAATAGACACAGCAGTTGGCCTGGTCTGACCCAAATGATCTTTCATACTTTTTGAACAGCTTATGTAATACCATAGAATGGAATGTTTTACGTAATGCAGCAGACTGTATGTCGATATATTTTATCTGTGATACATAATCTCTTACAAACTAGTACAGTATCTATCTGAAGGGACAGTCAGTCTTTCATACCTTCTTGAATAATTCATTCAGTCTTCTGAAAAGAATCTTTAACAACAGGTTTTTTTGTCTGGGTTGCATACCCTGTAGACTTTATTAAATAAATTTCTTTCTGGATTTCAGCTCTGTTGAGTTGGTCAGTAATCATTGGTTATAACGTACAAAGGTGTTGTGAAGATAAGCTACATAAGCTGTTTGTTGTAATGCTCCAATTAGTTATTAATACTGTTAGTATTCCTACCATTTATTCTTCATAGACTTCTTACTACTACAAGCCATACTATATAAGTGATTATTCATCTTGGCTTTTGGTGGGTAGAATATCAGTTCCAAGTTGACCTAAGTTTAATATTTGGTTCCGAACAAGTCCCTAGTATCAGTTCTCTGACTACTGATGATTCGTTACCGACTGAATAGAAAAGTGAATTCGGTGGTCATTGAAAAGTCTGCGAGTTCTTTACATAACACTGACTTCAGTATCCGATCCCAACGTGATACATTAGAACATAGACGTGAATGACAGACATTGGATAGCACATGAAATATAATTGTATCGAAAGATGCTTCCGGTAGAAAATCGTAAAAACTTTGTTGATGCAAAATTGTTATTTTACATCATAAACTACGTGTAAAATAATCATAAACACGATTATACAGTCTTAGTAGGTGAAATAATAAAAAAGGAACTCCCTTCATTGGAATACAGCGTTGCCACATTTATAAGCTTAACTGTTTATCGGCAAGAATACTAATAGTAATAATGAGTATCACAAAAAAGATGAATGAAATGTCAAGTCAAATAAACTTTGAACAATTAAAACCCGACGTTAGAACAGACATTAGAAATATCAGTTGATTATCTTGATAAGTGTCACATTGAAATCATGAATCAATTGAAGCTAGACCACCATGGAAAACCTGGAAGCACTGGACGGCTGTCTCGTCCTAGTATGGGACTCCTCAGCAGCGTGCATCCACGACCCCGCCTGGTGCGAGACTTATAGGTCCTGGGTTCCAATCTCGCGGAGTGCGGGATCGTGGATGTGCGCTGCTGAGGAGTCCCATGCTAGGACGAAACGGCCGTCCAGTGCTTCCAGGTTTTCCATGGTGGTCTAGCTTCAATTGACTCATGATTTCAATCAGTGAAATTTCTAAAACCTCCACAGAACCCCTTCTGATAGTAGTTAAGTGTCAAGTTGTTTTTCAGTGGCTCTATATCTGTCTCCAGTTAGATCGGATGATTTCTGTCGAAATACATATCCTGGCTATCCTCCATTATAATCATCGACCTTAATCGTGTTAGTGAGTAACGTAATTAAATTAGTCAAATACGAGAATGGACTTTTGAATATGTATATTTCGTACAGTCGTTGATCGGAAAACAAAGCAAAATGAAATGACTCACAATGGAGAAGGTGAGTGAGCCAATTGGATGTAACTAAGAGTGAATCAATATTCATAGCTGAACAAAAATAAGTTACAGACACATAATAAGTAAGGCAAGTAATTGGCACATACAGTCATGCAAAAACCGTCAGGAATAATATGCGAATAAGTGACGGGCAAGAAGTGGCTTGAGAAGCGTGAATAGATTGGTCTGTTCAGAGGCTGGAATAACCTATGTGTGCTTGACATAGTACTAGCCCCTACAATTTAGAGGACACTACCCTCTGAATCTATCTAAACAAATCTATGTTGCTACAATGATTTGACTGGTTTATCGAATTCCATTAATTTTTGTGTTACATTGTAGTAGCTATCATGTAGTTACACATCAAGTGATTTACTCTTACTCTTTCACACCGGTCAATCTAATCGTTGTGAGTCATTATGTACACAAACATTCGA